AGCCAGAGCTGCTCACCGGTGTGCCAGCAATGTTCCCACTGTGGGTTCTGGGGAGAACTGAACTCAGGAAACTTCTTCACCTGAACTAAGAGGTGACCTCTTGGTTCATGGGAAGTCAAATTGGGGAAATATAACTTTACATGGAGAGCCTACTTCACACTTATAAGAAATTAAGTAAAAGCAGCTAAAAATAAATGTTTCTCCCGAAAAGGGCAGATGGATCATTAGCCATTTGAAGTAAATAAAAGACCTGGCAGTCTTCACCCTGCTCCTAACTTTTATCACTGACATAATGGTAATAAGACTTTTATTATTTTTAAGTTCCTGGCTTCACCAAACAGCTCAATACTTATAAATGTCATCGACAGAATGAAAGTAATAAGAGAACTATTATCAACTTACAGATAAGTGTGTGTTCCTGTGGTAATTCCGATTTATTGTACTGCTTAAATCCAGATTGAAAAAGACAGTGGTACAGTTTCTTATTTTTGCGATGAATTAGTTATTCATTTGTGTTTCTCTATCGGAGTTTGCTCAACCTCTAATTCTTCAGTTGTCTGTAAGCCTCAGTGGTCATATATTTGCATTAGAAGATGCTACTTAAGAATCAGCCCACCTCCCTTTTTATTCTTCCTTCTTAGGGTCATCCGGGACCACCAGGGCCACAGGGTCCTATTGGACCGCTGGGACCGCCAGGACCCATTGGGATTCCAGGAGAGAAAGGGATGAGAGGGGACAGTGGCCCTCCCGGAGCAGCAGGGGATAAAGGAGATAAGGTAAGCCCCTTCCTAAGGGAAAGCTTCTTAGCCACTCACCAGCACTGTTATGCCAGACTTGTTAGAAACACGTAGGACCTGCTTGCGCCTTATAATAAATTAGGTCTAGACTCCTCTTCCATAGCAGCCCTCCTTCCCCAAACCCTCCAGAGGAGCTTGTAATCTTTTCTCTGCACTTAAATGCATGACTGCACTCAGCAGGGAGCTCATGGACATAATGGTAATAAGACTTTTATTATTTTTAACTTCCTGGCTTCACCATACAGCTCAAGACTTATAAATGTCATCAACAGAATGAAAGTAATAGAACTATTATCAACTTACAGATAAGTGTGTGTACCTAAAAAAAACACCTAAATGATATTATGTGTCCCATGCTGAGCAATTTTTTTTTTTTTTTACTCAACCACTCAACCATGTGGAAAAAAACACCTAAATGATATTATGTGTCCCATGATGAGCAATTTTTTTTTTACTCAACCACTCAACCATGTGACTTAAAGATCAATCAATTTACGTCGATTCAACTTATTCCTTTAAAAACACCGTTTAATATGCTATAGAATGGATAAAGAAAACAGTAGTTTCTTCCTTGTTGAGAATTTGAGATCGTGTCCTAATCTGTGTAGAGCAGGTGTGAGAAAGCAATCCTGTGAATTACCTGCGCTCACATTTACGAGTTTGCTTCTCCAGGATTGACAGATTCTGAGACGTTGAATTCCCAGCTTACAGGGCGCTGGATGTTTTCTTTCAATTGATGCTGCCAATGTGGCTTCCTTAGGACAAAAAGTATGTAAGGTTCATTCTTAAATGTTGGCGTTTAAGCGTGTGTGAAAATAGGTAACCATGACTGCTAAGGGTTAAAAATGCTGAGCATTAATTATTTATGTTTTTGAGGAAATTAACTTGTTAGTCTAATAATTTAGTGACTTTTATAACTTTGTTTTATCGCCTGGAATTTTAGGGTCCCACTGGTGTTCCTGGATTTCCAGGTTTAGATGGTGTACCTGTAAGTATCCCTACATTTTCTCACAAAGAAGGGAGAAACACTCCTCAAAACCCTTAAAATCACATGTTCAAAAAATAGATATGCACGTGGCAAACTCTTCTTTATTTTCTCACCTCAGTGAATGAAAGGGTGTTGCATTTCAATTTTGTGTAATAACTCCAACACCGAGACACTTTACTGAATAGCAAGGTTTTCAAATAGGTTAGAGAAAAACATTCCAAAACAGGAGCCAGAGATACTCCTGGAAATGAATGCCTACTCATAATGACAGTTTTTACTTAAAGACGAGTCCTAACTTTTGGAAGTGGGTTTAAGACCCTCGTTTCTAATATGAAAACCACATGAAAGAAGAAAGAGGTATTTTGGGGAGCTTTACTATTCTTTAGAGTCTTTCTAAGGATTTAAAGAAAGCTTTCCTCCCAAATCTCCCAGAATACTCCACGCTAAATGAATTTAAATTGGGGGCATATTAAAATTTGCTTATGGATTTTTTACTATGCTACATAGCACTGTGGATAGGGAAGGAATTCTCACAAAATGAAGTGGTATGTGAGTCATCATTGCCATAATTTGGGTACCCATATTGCATAATCTTTGTCTTCTAGTATTCTTGCAAAACAATGCTTCACTTGTCATTTTGTTTCCTGTAGGGGCACCCGGGGCCTCCGGGGCTCAGAGGCAAACCTGGCAAGAATGGCTGCAATGGCTCCAGAGGCGACCCAGGGTTTCCAGGAGAAAGAGGAGCTCCTGGCCCAGAAGGCCCCCCAGTAAGACACCCACAGCTCCTCCTAATGGGAATCTTAAGTGAAAGGCCCCACAGTGGGAAGGGCCTGGTGTGCTCACGAAACAGAGTTAAGACAAGTGTGGGGGTGCACGGTGAATAAGTGGGGCGGCTGGAGGATGAGGACAGAGGTGGGCAGGACCTAGGACACCTGGGGTCTCGTAGCCTGTGGCAGGAGGCTGGGTTTTCTTCTCATGCCATAAGAATGTTTTGGGTGGTTCTAAGGGAGGAAGAGATATGACCTGATGGATGTGCCATTGAGATGTTCCCGGCTGCTGCCATAGGACCAAAGATTATGTTGTTAATCATTCAGGGTTCACTGCAGAGCTGTGTGTGTGAACTAGCAGATGTGCAGGAACCCGTCACAACAGGCTTTGAATGGAGTGATGTGATCAGTCAGTGATCATGATTCCCATGTCATGTAGGGGGGATCTGTGGACCCAAGAGCTAGCAGTGAAGTTTGTGCTCCATGCAGTTACTTAGTTAATGCAGTAGTAACTGAATTTCGAACCAGTTAGTTGAGGACTGGTGCTGTTTTACTCAAACGTGGGATGGAAATCCATGCCTATTGGAACTATGGGGGAAAAGGACTGCAATCTGATTGCTCAAGGGACCTGGTGAGGAGCTTACCATGAAACCAGGAGTCTCTCCCATCGGAAGCAAAGCCAGGCACTCTTCTGAGAGGGATTACCTTTGACATCTGCATGTCTTTTGTAGGAGCCTGATATATGAAAATGGTTAAAATTTTTATGTGGTAACCCAGGTGAGGTATATTAATATATGGGATATTAAGATATCAAGTGTGGAAAAAAAGGATACACTCAGGTATTTCATTCACTTTTTTAAAAATATCATAAATAAACGTGCAGCTAAATACAAAAAACTTACAGAAGGAACATGCTGATTTTTAAAATCTTATAAAGGGTGCATAGGCTCTATTTTAAATACAAATAGTAAAATAAATAAAATAAATTTTTAAACAACTATTTCTGTGACATATTATTGACAACTGCAATGTTAATTTATAAGAATAATACATGTACATTATGTTGTGAAATTTCCCTGCTATATAATCAATAAATATCTATTAATACATTAGTATATACTATATATAAACTATACATATATACCATATATTTATAATATAAATAAATTAGTAGGTACTCTAT